TGTTCCATTCTTTTTTTCTCTCTTTGTCTTGGATTACAAATACATGAATATGAGACCATTCGACGGTGTCCCACATCTCATATTCACTGTTTTGTTCATCTCATTCTTTTCTCTCTGCTTAAGTTTGAGTATTTTCTCTCGGTCTGTCAGCAAGTCCATGAATTATGTTTTCCTCTGGTCTCTTCTGTTCTTAAGATCATCTGACAAGTTCTTAATTTCAGATATTTATTTTTTAGAAAATCCACTTGGCTTAAAAAAAAAAAAATAGATTCTGTTTAAAATTACATCATTTCATCCATTTTTTTTTTTTAATCATTGTGTCTGTTTCAAGTCCTTGACTCCTAACTTCAGTATTTGGGTTATCTCAAGTTTGCCTAATTGTCTGATTTTCTCTTGATTATCTGTTACATTAATTTGCTTATTTGGATGTTTCTTAATATGTTTATTGTGTACCTAACATTGTGTGTAAAAGAACAGTTATTTTCTTTCAGATTAAGTTATTTTCTTTCAGAAAGGTTTGCTCTTTGCTATGTTGTATTGGGTAAGATGTTGACTACCTCAGTCTGATCAGGGATTAAGTAGACTTCTCCCTCCACTGCGAGTCTGTCTTTTAAACACTGAGAAACTGTGGGAAATTGACTATGTTCTGTCCGCCTAGCCTCCTTATCTTTCCTTAGTGCCCCATGACTAAGCAGATGTACCACTGGGGAAACTGGCCACATATTTGAGGCTTTTCTAAATTTCCAGTCATTCCAACCTGTGAGGACATCTGAAGCATCAGTGGTTTCTGATTTCCTTTAGTAGAGTTCCTCTGTTTAAGCCAAGCTTAATCTTCACTTGTATCTAAACTCTGCAGATGCCCCCATGGAAGAAAATGCCAGTGGTCTGGGCTCACCTTGGAAGTACTTGTCCATCTCTGGATTTTAGTTCATCTAGTTCTTAATCACTTCCACAACTTTCTTATGTTAGTCTAGGTTTTGAAGGAAGAGCCATGGCTTGCTCCTATCTAGTATCTGACTGTAGGGAAGTGGACATCAGGAGTTTATCTTTGCAAAAAGAGAAGGCAGACAACTTTAGAGTGCTAATTTGTGTGTAGGCATAGTAATGTTTTAAATAGTTTTATCTGTGTTGCATGGTAATAGTTATATATTTTTTCTTTCTGATATGGCTCTGAACTAAGTCAACAAACTAGAGTCTACAGACCAAATTGGCACAATTTCTGTTTTTGTATGGTCTGTGAACTAAGAATGGTTTTTACATTTTTTAAAAGTTAAAAAAAATAAAATGAAAAAATTTTTGGCACATGAAAATTATATGAAATTCAAATGTCTGTGTCCAGAAATAAAGTTTTATTGAAATAAAACCAGTCATTTGTGTGTTTTGTCTATAGCTGCTTTTATGCTATAATGGTTGAGTAGTCGTAACAGAGATCATATGGCCTAAAAAGTGTAGAATATTTACTGTCTGTTCCTTTAGAAGGAAAAAAAAAAAGGCCTATTCCTGCCTTAGACCATAGACTCAGGAATTTTTCATTTCTCATTACTAAAGAAAATTAAACAAAAGATTGAAAACCTTTTATTCCTACAGTTTTTTGAATTTGGACTTATAACATCTTAGCATTTTAGAGTTAAAAAGAATCTGAGAGATAATCTCCTTAATCTTGTTATTTTACAAATGATGAAAAAGATTTAGAGTGAGAGAGGTTTTTAAATTAAATTACGGCTAATTTTTGTTTTGTTAGAAAACAAGCTCAGTAATAAGCTGATAGAGAAACTAATGATCTATATCATGGAACAACTTGCAAAATTAATTTATTCTCATTGTGGAAATATTTGGTTTTCCTTAAACAGTGGTAGCTATTAAGAATATTTCTTCTTTAGGATTTTTAAAGTAAATATTTTAAAGTAAATATTTAAAGCACATTAATAGTACTTGCCTTTCATTACCACCCATAATTCTTTCAAATCTCATGGGCAGTGGGTTTGTTTTTTTGAGTGTGAAAAAACTAAAAATCTTACAGAATCAATTCCAGACATTCTTCCTTAAGCTCCTATTTGATATAGGATTTAAAGTACTAAATCATCAGAAATTCCAACGTGAGTTGTTGATGTGTAAGACCAGTTTTTAGAGTTTTTCTTTTATTTCATCTATTCATCCTCAGATATTTTGAAAAGTTTAATTTAGTTCTCAAATGCAGTCATATAATGAGATGTTATATTACTAACAAATAGCATTTTCATTTTCTAATGTTGATTATAAATTTTCTTTATATACTTCTAAATTTATTACTGGCTTTTTTTTGGTTAACCCTCTACTTCTAAAACTAGCTAGATCAACAAAAAATTCAATAAAATCAATTTGTGGGGATTTGAAGAAAGCCGATTCTCTAGGAATTGGTAGGTTCAGATTCATTTAAATTGTTATAACTAATTAAATCTCAAATCCATAGAAAGAAGTATTTTAGGAATACATATAAAGTCGTTTGAACTTTAAAGAAGTTTATTTAACAAAGCAGACAAAAGTATTGTTGTATACTTGTGAAAATTTAAGTCTGGGATAACTAGGCTTTAGGAAATTCATCTTAATTTGGATTTATATTTTCTGTTTCTCTGAAGTTTGGTTTTGAGTGAACCTTGATGTTTTTCTAAATTGTTTAAATGGTCTAACCTTTTAGCAGTTACATACTCCAGTTGCTCAAGTCACTGATTTTACTTAAGTAAATTTTGGTATAAAGGGAGGTTGGTTTCCTAAGCCATATATACTCATGCTTTTCATTAACTAGTTTGTTCATCTGATATTCATCTGATGTGTCAGACACTGATTCAGGCACTGAAAGTACAGAGCTGAAATAGATATTTTTCATGATCTCACATCACTCATAGTTGACTTGATTGTATAAGCAGGTGTATCTGTTCATGTGTAGCATTTGATAACTATTGACCACTCTCTTTACTTTTGTGGTATACTATCCTGGGGAGATAGTATCCACCTACATGGTTTCCATTACTTCCTTTGCACCAAAATCTGCTAAAATAATCCTATGGCTAACTCCTTAATAGGTGTTTCTGGCTAGATATCCTTTAATATATTGGTGTATCTGTGGATCTGTCCTTGGTCTGCTTATTTTACTTTTTGAGTAAGGCTAAACTTGCTTCTTTTCTGCTCTTCTTCTCTCCTTCCTCCTACTTTCTCTTTTTCTCATAATAATATTGAGTACTTTGTTCCAGGCTTTTTTCTGGGCAAAGAGGCTAGAGCAGTGAACAAGAAAGACATGGCCTGTACACTCTTGGAGCATACAGCTTGGTGAGAAAATGATATATTAAACAAATAATCCCATATGTAATTAGTTGTAGATTACACATGAAACACAAGTATACAATGAAATGCCAGTGTATATTAGAGAAACTAACCCAGTCTGGGACATTCCTGAGTAAGTAACACTTATACTGGGACCTCAAAGGTGAATAGTGGTAGCCGGAGAAGATGTGGGAGAAAATTCTAGGCAGAGGGAGAACCTTTGTGAAAGGTTCTAAAGGGCTTAGCCGGTTCGGACAGTTGACAGGATATCCTTATGGCTGGAGGATGATGAACAAGTGGAGATGGGTGTAAAATGAAGCAGGAGAGACTGGCAGAGGTCAGATTTTGATAGAGCATCTTTTAAACCATGTCAGTGCTTTTGGACTTCACACTGATGGAATCGAGGAGACATTAATAGAGTTTTAAGTTGGGGAATTACCTACTCAGATTTGTGTTTTAAAACGTTGACTTGGGTTCTTATGTTAAAAATGGATTGAAGGGGGGCAGATGTAGATGTGCAGAAATGAATGAAGAAGCTTTTGCAGTGGTCCAGGCAGAAGGTGGTGGTAATTTAGGTACTAGCATAGCAGCAGTAGAGATGATGTAGACATATTGAAGAACTATTTACAAGGTATAATTGACAGTATTTTGTGATTATTTTGGTTATGGAGTGAAGCTGAAGGAAGTGTCAAGGACAAAATTTTCATATGCTTGTTCACATCTATCTTGTTGGCATTTTAGTCTATTGAAGTCAAACATTTTCAAAATCGAACCCATTTTTTCATTTCACAAACATTCTCTTTGATGTCTCTCTTTTTGTTAATGGCATCTCTGTCTCCAAGTGAGCTAAGTTACAACTTTTTTGGGGTCACAACTTCCACCAAATTAGTTACCAGATGTTAAGGACTCAACCTCTGCATCATCTAGAGTCTCTTCTTCCTCCATCGCCTCCTTCACTTTTTTTTTTTTGTCTTTGCTATATCAGTAACATGCTCTTGCTAGATCATTAAACTATGCTTTACATCCAAATCTCTGAGCTCCTTGAGGGCAAAAACTGTCTTTTTCATCTTGTATCTTTAGTACCTAGCAGTGTATACCTCAGCATGATAGGTATAAAAAAAATGAAAAGAAAATACAATGTTTTCCTTGACTGCCTTCATCCACTATAATTCTCTTTAGTTGCCAAAGTCATTTAGGTGCTTCCCTTTGCTTAAATAAGAATTCGGTCATAGGGCTGTGAGGTAATGAAAAACTGGCTGCTGTATGTGAGAAGTATATGAGTTGGGGTTTTCATATAGTAAGCCAGTAAAAATGGACTCCTAACCCCTTGTACACTTCAGCTCTCACAGCTACACAGGGTAGATTTTTCTGAGAAGGAACCATAGTTGTTATTAGCATCTTCACTGTTGAATAAAGTTTAAAGACTTTCATTTGATGCCTTTAAAATTTTTTTAATTTTATAAAAGTATTTTTAGAATTCCGTTTTTAAAATTATTTAATGTGTATTTCTTAGCTATCCAGAATTGTGTTATCTCAATAGCTACATTATATGGTATTACCTTATTTGTACACCTAGAGTATATTATTTCATAGAAAGTTTATGGGATAAATATTCAAGTGTCTACTCTGGAAGTACCTATTTTTAATAACTTTGTGCTAATATGAACTTTCATAATTTTTTTCCTACTTTTTTACATTTTTAGGAATAAGAAAATTTTAAATAAGAAGAAATTGAAAAGAAAACAGAAGAGCAAATCAAAAGTGAAGACAAGAAGCAAGGTAAAACTGTTGGCAATTTATAGGGAATAATGACTTTTTCATATAGTAATTTGAATCCAAATGCCAAGATTAAAAAGGTATGAATCTAGTCAGCAAACCATTTTACTTCTATACATTAAAGTAATATTTTAGAAGCCCCTTATTATTTAGTTACACTCTTTGTTTTCATATTTAGAGCATTTCTTGACCAGTAGCCTGGAAGTTAATATCTGGCTGCTGACATTTTAGTCTCTTGAAGTTTATTATTGAGTCTTGTTATTTTTGATCAGTCCTTTGGGGGAACATATCATTTCTCTTCTCTTTTTTCACTCTGACTACCTGTACTAGAAACTGAGCAAAACTGGCTTGTGAATTGGGACTTGGATTTGGGTTGATCACATGCCTGTGCATGTGTTATGAATTAGGAAGAATCTTGGTGCATTTGTATTGTTCTGAGCTGCTTTCGACTCTGAGTGGCTATGCAAAGGAAAATGCAGTATAGAATATTTGAATTATGTTGAACCTTAGAGATAAAGGATCTCATTTTCCAAATAATGCAGAAATCTTTGCTATAAAATCCTTCTAATTTTTCCTTAAACATTTCCACGGACCAGATTCCACTTTCTATAAAAGAATCTCTTTTCTTTTGAATAGTACTAGGAAGCCTAGACAGGAGGAAGAGAAGAGTCATAACTACGATTTCTGAACAGTTCCACTTTTGGCTAAGAAACAGTAGCTTAGCTTGGCCTGTTGTATATCATGTTTATGTTCTAGAGACAATTGTTTCCTGTCCTTTTAAATTAGTGTTCTTGTTTTTGTAATTGAGAAAAAGCTACTGTAAAGTAGTAGACAAAAATAAAATAAAATAAAATAAAATAAAACAAAAGGATAAGGGATGCAATGTATTTGGTGGCTTTATCTTGACACACAACTGGATCCAGGGATTAAATAATGTCATCAAATCTATATCTTTATGTCTTGCATGTGGCTGAGAACTAAGGCTGCTGGCAGCTCCAAGTTCATTTTCTTTGAGCAAGAAACAATCCTTCTACTGGTTCTAGCAGAAAGTCTTGGGTATGATTTTTGATTGACCTGTACCATTTACTTTGGCCTCAGAGGTAGGGGACTTTGTTTAGACGGAGTTATGTTTGTAACCGTGTGATGGATGATAGGTGAGCACCTTGATGAGCAGGCCATATGGAATGGGAGAGGTGTCTTTACCCTGAGGAAAATGCTGCTTAGTGGGCAGAGAAATAATATATGTTCACTGTATCACCTCTTACTACTTCTGCTTTTGGGATAGAAGAGGGAAGCGGTGAGCATTTTATTATACTTCAGGTGCAAAAACCTTTAACAAATACAGTCATTCAGATTTCTAACCTCTACCCCTTCTCTACCCCTTTTAGTGTCATGTAGAAGTCATAGTATGGGAATCTTGAAAACTTTTTTGAGTTTTTCTAAGGTTTCATTTGTTGACTTTCCTAAAAGTGGTGGCATATGAAATCCAAGAAGAGAAGAGAAGTTAAGGTCTTTTGTTCTGTTCAATTCTGTCTCTAACTTTGTACCCTTAGTAATTCAGCTTTCTTGTTTAGGCTTCAGATTTTATATCTGCTTTTTGGGAGTAGCTTGTGATAACAGTGGTATTAAAAAAAAGAAAAGAAAAGAAAACAAACTCGTTCCTTTATTCCTCAAACATTAATTGCATGCTGACTATGGTAGGAATTACACTAGGCATTGGGATAGAAAGAGGCATAAGAAACATTTCCTGCTCTTGATAAGTATAATAAAATGGTGTTGTTAGTCTCCTTGCCCTTTACTACTGTATTTGGACTATTTTTCATCCACCCTCTTTTTAAAAAGTTATTTTTAAAATGCCAATGGGCTTTTTTCTTTTAACCATACATTTATAAACAAGCATTTCTTTTTGGCAAAACAAACAAACAAACAAAAAAAGCCATTAGCTATACTACTTTATCTTTTTTCTTACCATCATTTATCCCTCAGACATTAGCCATCTCCTTTGTTTAATTTCCTTTTTCTCCAGCTTAGATACCACAGTCTTTTTAGACAAACTCTTGCTTAATCTACTGTATTAGTTTCCTATGGCTGCTTTAGAAATTACACAAACTTTGATGACTTAAAACAACATAAATTATCTTATAGTTCTGGAAGTCTGAAGTCCAAAATGAATCTCACTGGGCTGAAATCAAGATGTTAGGAAGGCTGTATTTCTTCTGGAGGCTCTAGGAGAGAATTCATTTTCTTTGCCTTTTCCAGCTTCTAGAGGCTGCCTCCATTCCTTGGGTTGTGCCCATCCCATCCTCAAAGCCAGTTTGAGTCTTCTCATGCTGCATCACTAACACTTTCTCCTTCTCTGACTGCTCTGCCACTCTTTCTCATTTGTAAAGACCTTTGTGATTACATTGGCCGCCCCCCGCCCAGATAATCTGAAATAATCTCCCCATCTCAAGATTGAATCATATCTACAGGGTCCCTTTTGCCACATGAGGTAACAAATTCACAGGTTTCTCGCATGTTTATTTGTTGCAATCATCCTACAAAACTCAATCCTATACGAATCCAACTGTTTTTGTTTTCCTTGAAGGTGAGTACCATATGCTGCTAAAGGGAGCTAAACAAGAGTTCGTGCTTTCGTCATCACCGGTCTCAAATGGACCTTCCATAACCAGATTGTCATATTTTTCTGGTCGAATAGTTCTCCCACTTTCAAATCCTGTGACTCTTTCAAACCTTTGCCGCTCTCCTCAAACTTCTGATATATCCTACCCTCCGGGAAGTGACTTCACTTTCTTACAGGAGAAATCAAATCTATTACGTAGGAAAGTTCCTCAACATCCTGCTACGAAATATGTCTGTTTTAGGTCATGGTCCTTAATAGCAGAACCTGAGACAGAGATTTAAAGTGTACAATTCCGTGAGTTTTGAAAGATACAGTCAAAGTTCAGAAAGTTCCATCATCCCCGAGGGTTTTCTCATCCTCTACTGCGTTCCATCTCTTCCTACAGCTCTGGCTCTAGGCAACCACAGACGTACTTTCTGTCATTATAGATTAGTTTTCATTTTCTAGAATTTCATGTAAATGTGATCATACAGTGTGTACTCCTTTGTATCTGGCTTCTTTCTCTCAGCATAATGATTCTGAATTGTGTCCACATAGTTGTACATATTAATAGTTCATTCCATTTTTTTGTTGATTAGTATCTTATTGTATGGACATATCCTGACTTGTTCATCCATTCACTTGTTGACTTTTACATGTTTCCAGTTTTTGGCCATTGCAGATAACACTTCTGTGAACATTTGTGTACTAGACTTTGTGTGGATATATGTTTTTGTTTTTTGGGGGGAGTCAGTACCAAGGAGTAAAATGATTAGATGTTGTTTCCGTCGATGAATTGCCAGAAGACTCATAAGACTCAAGAGCAATTTATACTAATAACTAAGGTTTAGTATAGCAAAAGGTACATAGTAGACAGCAGGAAAAAGAACTGTATTGAAAGTGTCTAGAGAGTTATGGTATAGGCTTTTTAGTTCTTCCTTGTCTGAGCACACAAGAGATGCTCTCTCTTAGGCAGTGAACTATGGGGATATGTTTAGAATGTTTCTGCCCAGGAAAACTCATATGAGTCTTAGGACTTTTATGGGAGTCTAGTCACATATCCTGCTATGCAACCATCCATGACGAGTGAAATTCGGGTACGCTTCATTAACCTTGATGTTTGTGCAAAGCAATCAGACAAGCCAGCATGCACGGTCCATTTCTCGTGATGTACATAACAAAATCATCAATAACTAACATAAAGAAAACCTTAAAGACCACATTCCCAAGGGTTGGCCAAGGATCAGTCATGGTTCCCTTGGAGAAATATAAGGAATAAGTAATCATACCTGCAGTGTTAACTCTTTCCTCACAGGTAACATGGTAGATGAATGTTTTAACTTTTAAAGAAACTGTTGAAACTATTTTCAGAATGATTATTCCATTTTACTGTTGTAACACTATTGTATGAGAAATCCACTTTCTTTACATCTTTGTAAACACATGGTATTGTTAACTTTTAAAATTTTATCATTCTAATAAGTATACAGGGGTATCTCATTATGGTTTTAACTTGCTTTTCTCTAATGACTAATGATGTAAATATCTTTTCATGTGCCTTGGCCATTTATATCTTTCTGTTTAATGTCTGTTCAGATCTTGCCTCCCCCTTTCGTAATTGTTTGTCTTGTTACTATTGAATCGTCAGAGTTCTTTATATATTCTAGATACAAGTCCTTTGTCAGGTATCTGTATTGCAAGTAATTCTCTTCTGTGGCTTGCTTTTTTTTTTCACAAGGGTTTTAGAAGAGCAGAAGTTTTTAAGTTTTATAAATCTAGTTAATTGATTTTTTCTTATTAATGCATTTTGTGTTCTAAGAAATCTTTGCCCCAAGACTGCATAGATTTTCTTCTATATTTTCTCCTACAGATTTTGTAGGTTTAGCTGTTATATTTAGGTCTATTTAGATCCATTTCAAGTTGGTTTTTGGTATGAGATAAGAGTTGACATTCATTTTTTCCCACGTTGGTATTCAGTTGATCCAATTATTTGTCAAAAAGACTTTATCTTTTTCTTTTGAATTGTGTTGTCATCTTTGTAAAAAATTGGTCGACCATATTTGTTTGGGCCTATTTCTGGAATTTACTTTTTTTTCATTGATCTATATATCTTTTATACCAATACCTTACTGTCTTTATTACAATAGTTTTGAAATCAGGTCATATGTTTTCCAACTTTGGACTTTTAAAAATAATTGCATTAGTTTCTTTTAGTCCTTTATATTTCTATATAACTTTAGTTAGTCAGTTTGTTAATTTACAGTATAAAAAGCCTCTGGAATTTTTATTGGGATTGCATTGAATCTATAGATTTGGGGAAGGATTGCTGTTTTAATGATATTGAGCCTTCTAATCAATGAACATGGTTTATCTAGCCATTTATTTAAATCTTCTTTAATTTCAGCAACATTTTTATTTTTAGTGGATAGTTTGCACATAATTTTATTAAATTTAACTAATTAATTGATGTTTTTGTAAATGCTATTGTTTAGAAATGTTTTTTTTTAATTTTGTAATAATCATAATGTGAATGCAGTTGTGAGAAATAATACAGAGAGTGTACCCTTTCCTCATTTTCTGTCATTGGTAAGGTGTTGCATAGTAAACACACAGTATATCATGTAGTATGATACATAGTACATCACAACCAGAAACTCGATATTTATCCAATCTACTGAACTTATTCAGATTTCACCAGTTTTATTTACATGTACGTGTGTGTGTGTGTCTGTGTGTGTGTGTGTGTGTGTGTAGTCCTGTGCAGTTTTATCACATATGTGGGTCTTTGTGACCCACTACTGTGGTCAAATATATACAACAGTTCCATCACAAGGATCATTTGTGCTACTCATAAAGCCACAAACATCTCCCAACCTCACTTTTGCTAGCCTCTGGCAACCACAAATCTGTTCCCCATCTCTATAGTTTTGTCATTTCAAGAATGTCATGAAACTGAAAACATGCAGTATGTATTCTTTTGGGATTAGCTCTTGCCAGTTAGCATAATTCTCTTATGATTCATCCAAGTCATTGCATATATCAGTAGTTTGTACATTTTTACTGTTGAGTAAGCATTCCATGGTAACAGTATACAACAGTTTAACCATTCACCCATTAAAGAACATCCGAGTTGTCTCCAGTTTTTGGTTATTTTGAATAAAGTTATGAATAGTCATATGTTGGTTTTCGTATGAACATAAATTTTCATTTTTCTTGTATAAATGTGTAGGAGTGCAATTGCTGGATTGTAAACACATATTTAATTTTGTAAGAAACTGCCATTCTTTTTTCCAGAATAGATAGCTGTATCATTTTACATTCTCATCAGTGGTGTATGAGAGATCCAGTATCTCCACATACTCTCCAGCATTTGGTGGTGTCACTTTTTTATTCTAGCCAGTCTAAGAGGTGTGTACTGTATGCATCTCATTTTATTTTAATTTACATTTTTCTAATGGTTCATGGTATTGAACTTTTTTTCATGTGTTTATTTGCCTCTGTATATCTTATTAAGTGACAGGTCTACTTATGTCTTTTGGCCATTTTTAATTGGATTGCTTGTTTGTTTTTTACCATCAAGTTTAGAAAATTTATTATATATTTTGAATGCTAGTCCCTTGTCACATATGTGGTTTGCAGATATTTTCTCCCAGTTTGTAGCTTTAATGCTATTATTTTTAAAATGATATTTTTAATTGTTCACTCCTAGTGTATATATTACATGTTTTTATATATTGATCTGGTATCCTAAGTCCACACATTATTTCTAGTGGCTTTTTTCCAGACTTATGATTCTTTATATGTCTTCTGCAAATAAAGGCATTGTTATCTAGAATATACTTCTTTCTTTTTTAAAAAAAATTTTTTTGTTCTTGTGTTTTTTTTCTTTTATTAAATTTATTAGGATGACATTGGTTAATAAAATTATATAGGTTTCAAGTGTATAATTCAGTAATACGTCATATGTATATAGCATTGTGTGTTCACCACCCAATGTTAAATTTCCTTCCGCCACCAAATATTTGACTCCTTTTACCATTATCCACCTCCAGCCCCAATCCTCCTTTCCCTCTGGTGACCACTACATTGTTGTCTGTGTCTATGAGTCTTGTTTGTCTTGTTCGTTTGTTGCTTTCAGTTTTATATCCCACATGTGTGAAATCATATGGCTCTCAACTGTTTCTGTCTAATTTATTTTGCTTGGCATGATAATCTCAAGATCCATCCATGTTGTTGCAAATGGCAGTATTTCATCGTTTCTTATGGTCGAGTAACATTCCATTGTATATATGTGCCACATCTTCTTTATCCAGTCATCTATTGATGGACACTTTGGTTGTTTCCATGTCTTGGCCACCATGAATAATGCTGCAATGAACATCAGAGTGCATATATCTTTATAGATAAATGTTTTCAAATTTTGAGGGTAGATAACCAGAAGAGGGATTGCTGGGTCATATGGTAATTCTATTCTTAATGTTTTGAAGAACCTCCATATTCTTTTCTATAGTGGCTGTACCAAGAAGATACTTCTTTCTTAAATATACCTTTTATTTCTTTTTCTTAGCTTATTGCACTAGCATATCTAGTACAATGTCAAATCGGATGGCTGAGAATAGATATCTTTGCCTTGTTTGCAATCTTAGGGTATAAGCATTGTCTTCTACTACATTAGCTGTGGGTATTTCATAGATATCCTTTATCAAGTTTTGGAAATTCTCTTGTATTTCTAATTTACTTATACTTTTTAAAAAGTCACGAATAGGTATTTGATTTGTGTTAAATGCTTTTTTCCATCTCTATTACAGTATCTTATGTCTTTTCCCCTTATTTTTGTTGGTATAGAGAATTATACTGCTTTTCCAATGTTGTGGCAACCTTATTTTGGGGTCAATCATTAGGTTTATCTTTTTTTATATATTATTGGATTTGGATTACTAATATTTGCTTGTTTTCAATGTCTCTAGAAGACATATTCACATTAAATATAAATTAACTTTAGTACATTTTTTATTTAAGAAGTATTCCATTTTTTCCCCTTAATTATTTATGGAAGGAGGGTAGAATTTGAGACCAAGTGTTTTGGTACTTGAGATTTCATTTTATTTATTTTGGATAATTCCTAGGCATACTGTAATTGTTGGAACTTGCACTTGTAGGATATTTTAAACCAGTTCTATATATATTTATAATATAAATGCTGATATCAGAATGATGGTTGCTGTCTGATGAATAAAATGATGAGACAAAACAAATTGACTATTTAGTTTTAACGATTAAATTACCAAGCATGTAATTTTTAGTATTTATCCAGACCAATAGCTAAGAAAGAGCCTTAGGAAAACTTATGTACATAATCGGCATTACTTAGCATTACTATTATTTGAATGAGAATGAAATTAGAAGAATTGATTCAAATTAAGAGTTTTTCTTTTTAGCCCTAATTTCTGTTTACATTCTTATATCTACTTTTAGTATATCTGCTTCTTTTAAAAAAGAAATCATAACATATAATTCGACATTTATAGTAGGTCATTGAGACTCTATAGTACATCTGGTGTACCTTTGAAAAGCACCAAATAAATATCCTTTGATATTGCAGCAGTTAAGCTATGCTGGCTCTATTCCTATCGTGGGATAAAAGGATATTCCTGTTAAGTTCTTTGCCTGCCCCTTTCCAGCGCTTGTCAAGTTGGTTGTTGCTGTGTTACTCAGAAAGTAGTGAAGTATAGTAGAAGGGTAATATAAGTTGAATCAGTAGACTTAGATTGTCTTTGCTTTGCCAATTACGTGACTTCTGCAAGCATGTCTAATTATAATCTTTCATTTTTTATTTAAAAGGAGAATTGATGATGATGGAAAGAAATATGAAATTAAAATACTATATCTTCTATTTCAGTCTGAAAACTTGGAGAATACAGTAATCATACCAGATATCAAACTACATAGCAATCCTTCTGCATTCAATATTTATTGCAATGTACGCCATTGTGTTCTGGAGTGGCAGAAAAAGGAAACATCAGTGGCAGCTGCATCTAAGAACTCTGTGCAGAGTGGAGAATCAGATAGTGACGAAGAGGAAGAATCCAAAGAGCCCCCTATCAAGCTTCCAAAGGTAAGTTAGATGCATAACCTATGGATGTTTTGGCTATAAGACATATATTTGCATTGCTAAAATCGCTTGCTTTGTATAAAATTGTATACTAAAAATACCGTAGCTTATGAGTAAAAATAGATTTGGAGCAGACCAGGAAAGCTCTATGCAATTTTATTACTGGAGTGCTAACAAAGTCAATAATTGATAACTCAATGGGGAGTACTTGGAAAGCCCAGGCAGGGAGATCGGTGGGTTAGAGTTTGTAACGGGGGCCTATTAAAAATGTTCAAAAGTAGTAGAGCGGAATTGGTGGCTTGAAAGCATTGAGCCATTGCTGATAGAAGTGGAGCATTGAGCCAGCAGGCTTCCATTTATAACGTGGACCCAAGAGGGAGTAGGAAGTGCAAGCTATCACAAGCCAAGAGCCATGGAAAGAAAGCTGGGGATGCTCCCGTCCAGAAAGGGAGCTCTGGGTACAGGTATACATTTTTATTTTTCTTAAAATAGAACTAGAAGGGCTCTTGGCTGTGCAGCAGCCGAGCTGAGAGCTTTCGCCTTTTCTGCCTAAGGTTATACTCTTGCTATTCTGGCTCCCTTTGCCTAGGAAAAAATTATATATGAACCAGCAAAACTTCGACATTGTTGTGATATCATTCTCGTATTTACCAGGTGCATCTAAGCTCATTGATGTTATAGAAACATGTATTATAGTAGAGCAAACTGTCCTTAAGGTACTCTGTTCTATTTAAGTATTGATATATTTCAAGACTATAATGTTATTTTATCTATAATATATTTTTTCTATACAGTAGGTATAGTTAGTATTTCTAACAAGATAATGGGTGAAAATATAACATTTTTAAAATGGTACCTTTATCATAAATGATTTATTATATTGCTTTTTCTAAATATAGACATGTAAACATGGTTTTCTTTCACAAATGATTCATGTATATTGCCTTTTTACTAAATTAATACCTTAAAACTATGTCTTGAAAACATCTTTACAGATATACATGAGATATCATGTAAATATATGTATTTTTTATTTTTTGGAAATAGCAGCTAAGATAGGCCCTATGTTCTTGATCTAATTTCTTTTACATATTTCATGGTGGCTATTTCTAAGTGCACCACTGTCCTTGATCATTGCTGTCAGATTCTTCTCACCATGTTCTCAGTAGATGACTTGCTTCCTATTTCACAGGGTAATAGAGGTTTTGTGATCTTCCTCAGCCTCTTGATCAACCATCTTCAAATGTCCTTATCTCCTCCTCTTGGCACCCATCTCTTTCTCTTAGTCTCTAGTGTCCTTAACTGTACCTTCTCTACTAGCTTCTTCAACCTGAAACAAACTGTTTCATCTTTTCCATGTGAGCCCCTCCAGGTAGAGATCATGGTCTCCGAATTGATTTCTTATACTTAGTTAGCGGAGGTTGAGGGAAAATATGTTAAGTTACGATGTGAAGCTGTAGGACTTACGTAGTGTATTTTTGGTAAGGGTTCCATTGCACATGTGGGTGAGTCACACTATACTGTAGTAATCACCCCGCTTAAGTTCAGTACCAGTAAGGAAAATAAGAACCCAGAGAAATCTTTCACACAAGTATGTTGACTTTGAATAGTAAACTGTAGTTTAAATTAAAAGATATCACACAGTCAAGAACAACCGACTCTTTGAATGCTTTTGATGAGTATTAAAGAAATAAAATATCAGATATTCTTAAGACAACATTTTTTAGCATTAACAGTGTCAAAAGATGCAGAGTCAAAAAGGGATCTTTCAAAGAAAATTAAAAGAAAATCAGATAGCCCAAGTAATTATTCATGAGTTTTTCATTACTGACCCATCAGCAAAAAGGGTATACTGACTGAAACATCCATAGTGGAGTCCAACTGCCTTTTTCAAACACTCATCATTAGAAATACTAGCTCTTTGTAGCTGGGAAAGTTATTTGACCTCTCTATGCTTCAGTTTTAACATTTATGAAATGGGGATAATATCTGCTTGCAGGGTCATAATGAGGATTCAGCTAGTTAATAAATGTCTAATACATGCCTGCTCAGTAAATGATAGTCATAAGTATCAGGTTAGGTGCAAACAAGAAAATGTGTAGGTGCAAATGAATTTAAAATACTTTTTAAAGAACTCTTCAATTTATTAAGAAATACTTTATATTCAAGGAAACGAAACTTCTGGACAATCAATGAGATCTTGCGATGAACAAGAGAGGAAGTGATGAGCTGCATTTATGTAAAGGCAGCCCGAATGCTATGGGTTAGGGCAGGGGTGGGGAGTGAAACTTTCAGGTGGTGTTTTGGGCAGCCATTTGCTTAACGTGAAGGACTGACATAAAAGAAGTGATGATGAGGTCTTTAGGGTTTGAGGTGATAGGAATTTGAGGGCAGCTGAGAAATGTTGGCATTTTCCATTGATTGTTTCTGGGCCTCTCACGTGTCAGCTCCTTCCTTTTCTTTGTTGTTCCTCTCTTGCTCCTCCTGCACATGTGACTGTTGCTGCCCTTCTCCTCATTTGAGGTTTCTTTCTCTCCTTTTTTCTCTCACATAATTATAGCAATTTTTATTTGTTGCCAAAGTATCATTTTGACACAGTTTTTACCCTTTTTGGATTTTAAAAGTTAAATCGAATCTGACTCTTGTGTAGACTTTGCTTGTCAGATTTCTTTGCTTTTTGTTTTTTTGTGGATCACTAATCATTGACATTTTAAAAAAGACTTTCTCCCTGCCACCCCACAACCTAAATGCTTCTATATCGTTTTTTACCCCAAACACAGTTTTTACATAGCTCAAACTGTCTTTCATTTTCTTATTTCCAGATCCTCTAAATAATTCCAAATTTTATAGCCACATAATTTTTTAATAGTAATATTTAGGATTCATTCATACTTCCCACCTAGTCTTATTTGAGGTTAGTCATGCCACATATTTTGTTAAAAGGGTTAGGCTTATGTAGACTCATTTATTTACTTTTTAATTCAGTAAATTATTTTTTCGTTTATAACAGGTATCATATCATATATATTATGAACAAAACGATGAGACACAGTCCCTACTACTAAGAAAGTAGTGTCTTGTAGGGATAGCAGCATATATAGTGTCTTAAGAATTGATAGGTGTGTGCTAGGTATAGTGGCACACACAGGGGAGTGAGGATGCAACACTGACTGAAGATGCACTTGCAGGGAACGGCATCATTAGAAAAGGACCGCCGTTGTGTTTTGGTTAGAGTAGAGCAGCTGAGTAGCGCAAGAGGCAGAGAGCAGGAACTCATTTAGGAAGGGCCTTATATGTCATGTAACCATTTTCAGATTTTGTCTTATAAATTAGAATTATTGAAGATTTTAAGCAAAAAATTTTGATCAGATTTGTGTTTTAGTAAAATTACTCGGGTGCTTGTAAGACTAATCTACAAGAGGGTGGTGAAATAAGAGCAGAGGGACCAGTTAGGCAGTTCAGTTGTCTAGAAAGTATTAATGAGGGTTGGAATTAGGGTAGTGGCAGCGCTGGGCATACAAGAAATGTTAAGGAGGCAGAATTGCTAGGAACTGGTAATTAGTTGGATATAAAGGCTGAACGAGAAGGTAGAATCTAAACATATTCCTAAAGTTTCTGGGTAGTGATACCATTTATTGAAAGGGAGAACTGGAAGAGAAATAGTGCTTTGTTGTAATGATTATTAAGTTTAGTTCTGGCCATACTGAGTTTGAGGTAGCTGTGAGGTATATAGTATGTACACGATGTAGGGTTGAAGTTCAAAAGGTCATAGCTGGAAGTTCAAAAGAAAGGTCCTAGCTAGAAATAAAGATTTGCTAGTTACCACACTGTGGTGGCAGAAGTTGAAAAAATTCTGTTAGAGTTGGGATTGGGAAGGTGGAATGAGTAACATTGTTTAAAATTAAATTAGCTTCTTCCTCTGCTGCTTTTGCTGCCTCCTCCCATCTTCTCCCCTCTAGATTTTTATTCATTATGTGTAAATGTCTCTACCAAATATTTACTTTAAACAAAAAAATGTAAAAAGACAGTATACGTTACTCTATAGTAATTTATAAATCTACTTTTGGTCTCTTCTCGAGTTTTTAAAAATGTATTTTGAAAGTGTTAGAACTGACTTTAGGACTTATATAACAAGATATAGTTTCTAGTGGCAAATAGTTAATTATTATTAAATCTAAATGTGATGTAATTAAACGCTTATGTTCACACTAGTTAGTGAAGCCATAAAGTCACCTTTGGAAAGATATGATTTGAGGAGAGCAAATTAAAGCTCGAAAGACTCATTAGGTCATTTTTCTTTGGCTAAGTATAATTTTATCTCACTTTTCCCAGCAGTGACATTGGACTGGCTGTATCAGGTAGTTATATGGGTTTTGTGTTCTCTCAGATATAATAGAGATCCTTCAGAATTTAATTATTTGGAGGCAGTAGTAAAGGTAAAATTCAGTAAATTTACAAAAGATTATTTTTTGAAGATAAGTAAGAAGACCATTTGTTAAGTGGTTAGTTATGGTTTATCATTGAAAGTATTAAAGTTTAATGTGTTATTTGATTCTAATGAACTATTCTATTTAAAAGTTACATTTATTAATATATTTTACTAATTAGAAAGGCAATACATATTCATCATAGATAATTTGAAAAATGTGGAACTTTTTTAATAAAGAGGAAATATGAATTAAAAATTAGAAATCATTTTTAAAATCCTATTAACCAAAAAATATTTACTATGAACATTTTTATATACACACATTAAAAATATATTTATTTCTGTACAAATGAAGTCATACTGTATTTGAAGTAATATATTGTTTTTTCTTATACTCTTCCTTCTGAATATTGAAGGAGGAGGAAGTATAGTGTATTCTCAGTGACTTATAGACTTCAAAGTGTAAAGTTCAGTTTCAAAGTTCATACATATGATAAAATACCTCTCAGCCAGACCTCAGAATATTTCACAACATGTTTTGTTCTCTTCAATAATTCAGAAGTAAATAATTGGAAAACTTAAGGTTGAGCTTTATTTTGTTGCACGTTGAATATGTATTACTATTCTAGAAATGAATTAGTTTCCACCCTTATTAAAATCTGCAGTGAACTAAGATACAGATGATTAGTGAGAATTGACAGTGGTTACCTTAGGCAGAGAGTTAATCAAGATTAACGTTTGAGGGGTATGTCTCACCAAAATCAGCTAGTACTCAGTTCCTAGGCAGCTTACCTGAGTTGCCTATTGTATGTTATTATTACACCTTAAACTTACCAGAGAGACAACTCAGGAACCTGTTCAGTAAGTAGCCTTACTATTTTTGGCAAAGTGCAATACTTTATTACTATAGGAATTTGACTTATATAAACAGACCCTAGTTAAAAATGTCATCTGTGAGAATCTTCTTTGAGTTATGAGAAGTCAGAATTGGTGGTTGTAGTGTAAACAATCTTAAAGACAGATAGGATATAATAATCTCCCATTGGCCTGAGAATAGAACCTTACGTTTTGTTCTCATGAGAGCTTTGACTTCAGGTTTGTTTCCTGTAAGTACACAAGGAGATGGAAAACTTGGACAGCATGTTTTTATTTTCTAATCTATTCCAGGAAACTGTTTCAAATGGAAATTTTTCATCAGTTAGTGTATTTAATCAATTGAAACTCAGTACAAACATTTTTGTAATCTTAGTTATAACCAAGTCTGCTAGGATTTTAGATAATTTCTCTCAAGACAGTCTTATTAGTTACTTTGACTTCTCAGTCATATTTATATTTTTCAGAAACCTTGAAAATGATAACCAGAACTGCAGCCGACTTGCCTATGAGATTTGACCCTTGTCTGGAAAATATATTTCTGAGTTGCAGTGGTTTTTAACACACAATTGAGAGAGTAATTAAACAAGTATTTATTGTGTGCTTATCAGGTACCAGGTACTGAGCTAGTAATGGGAGATATTAAGCTAGTTAAGACATGTTCCTTGTTCATAAGGAGACCACAGTTTAGCTGTGAAAATAAAAACAGTCAGTTACGCTATAACATAATAAATACTTTATAACAGAGATCTCAACTGGGTAAGAATTATGTACAAGTCTCATTTACCTTATTAGATTATAAATATAAACTCTAGAGGACAGGTCTAATATATCTTTATATCCCCTGTAGTAAGTTTCACAAAATAAGTGCTTAAGAAATATTGATGTAATGTGTATGAATTAATGCACAAATCTCAACAGAATGTTCTTTCACCATTATGTCCAATGGAATTAATGTCTTGATGCGTTTCTACTAATTAGTCGTGTTTTAACTTTTTATTTTACTTCTCCAAAATAATACCTCCTGAAAAGATCTTACGCATATGGTTCTCAAAATATTGGTATTGACTGAGAAATGGAATTTCATTGTTTATTTTTATATCAGTCTTCTGAAGATATGTCCTTATACCAGTTTGTCGCATTTCTCTCTGAACCTTTAGTTACAGATTTAGTTATCTTTTGCGAGATACTGAGTAAAATTTTTCTTCACCTTGTTAAGGAATGATGAGATAATTAAAGTAGCAGTGATCTTTTAGCTAGGCAGTTTTAACTCTTTTCATTCTTTTAAATCCTACAGAAGAAGGGATACCATTTATATACAATAATACGATGATCGTACCGTTATAAGAAAGGCTAAAATGAAAAGCTCCTACTTTAATCTTTTCACCGGGTGTGCTGTTTTTTTTTCTCTAGTTAAAAGGAACAATTAGTATGACTTAACAAAAGAATGCTGATTTTTGCTCGAGTACAGCCAGATGAACTTTGTAAATTAATAGAGTTTATTTTATTTTATTTTTTGAGCAAATGCTATTTAGGATCTAGTTCATTGTTACAAACAATTTTCATGATATTTTATTATGGCCTCATTATGCTAAAACTACTTTTTAAACAGTGCCACTATTTTTAACCTTCCATGTAACTGGATGGTTTTCTAAATTTTGAAGTTAAACATGCTAGGTCTTTTTTTTTTCCAATTTGTTTCTTTTTGCCTTTTAAGTATTGCAGCATTAATCATTCGCTGTAGATTTAAGCTGTACCCATTAAACTGGGAAGTGTATTAGCTTATGTGTTATGTTGTAATTTTGTTTTTCATTGTAAATAGATCATTGAAGTTGGACTTTGTGAAGTTTTTGAATTGATCAAGGAGACGCGATTTTCTCATCCATCACTGTGCCTCAGGAGTCTCCAAGCCCTGCTTAACGTGCTTCAGGGTCAGCAGCCAGAAGGCCTCCAGTCAGAGCCACCTGAGGTCCTAGGTAAGCACTCAGGGGCATTGAACGAAGTGTTTAGTGTAAACAGGCTTCTCTTATGAAGCACATGCAGCAGCCTGTACTGCAGTTTTTGTTTGATTATGGTACTGAAATAGCAGGGATATAAATTTTAAGGTATATTGCTATATTCTACTGGAGTTATGGTTATGGTTCAGGAGTTACAGTTCATGGACAGACATTTTTTTGATTATTGTGATGATGGGGAAAAAGCAAAACATAAACCTTTGGTACCCAGAAATATCCTCTAGCCTTATAGTCACTATTAACTTAAATTGTTCTTATTAAACCTTTGGCCTAAATAGCTAACACTGACTTTCTCTGAGCTTATGTGTTCTTCTCCATAGTTAAAAAGGGAGGAAAAAGGGAGGAAAAAGGGAACAAGTGCTATCAACCCAAACAGCACAATGAGTTTCTAAACAAAGAGGGCTTTCTTTTATATTCCTTATCAATAAAAATCTCTTTTTGTTATAGATAAAGCTTCTGAATTAGTAGCAACTTCCATTAAGTAAAAATCTCTGTGTTTTGTAAAGTGCATTTGAATTTTATGAATACCAACCTTTCGTGACCTAGGAACAAACATAATCCTATAAGCAAGAGAGTTGTTAGAAATAGAGATGAAGCCATAATTTTGAAATTATCTAATTTTCTTGGATGGTGACCATGGGCCTTCAAAGAGTCTAGATTTTTCTGAATTTCAAGCACTAGGTTGTATCAGAGTCACATGGGCCCTACTTGTGGAGTTTCTGACTCACTAAATTTTGGTTGGGGCCCAAGAATTTGCATTTGGAATAAGTTTCTGGGTGATGCCGATGCTTCTAGTCTGGGGACCATACTGCTAGTCTGGACTAGAGTTTGATCTTTTTTCTCTACTTGGCTATTTGGATTTTATTAGACTCACACGTGATAACCTAATTACATGTCGGACTGTTCTTTTTTTGGTTATATATGGTGATTAGTTTTTGTGTTTGATTTTTGTTCTTGTTGTTTTGGTGAAGGGGAGTGCTGGCTCTGAAACAAGCTGAGATTTTTTAAACCAACAACCCCTACCCCATGTTTTTAAATGCTACTATCAAGTAAAAGCTGTTATTCCTGTTAGTCATTGTTACCGTAGAACCAGTGATTGTATTACCGTTGTGACACGCTGATGCACTGCTTGGCTTCATAGCATTTTGCTGAAGATTTTAATTAATTAAGTTTATTTAAGATTATTTTCCAAGTTATTTTTAGCTCTGGTTTGTCAGTTAACAAGTAATTGAAATAGTAAAAATCTCCACTAAAACTTGTGTGTCCTGTTTCTTACTTTGAACAACATGCTAATTATTTCTTTCCTCCTAGATCTACTATTCTTTTGTCTTCTATATACTTTCTTCTGTATCCAGTCTATATATAAATACTCCCTTTCCTTAATTCTTTACAAAATAGATCTTTTCTTAATACTGTGTTTTGAAATAATGTGTGCTTTAGCTTAATCATCTTCTATCAAAACTTCTACCTGTTTAATTTGTTTTTTTATTTTCTCGTATACAGTTTCAAATGCTCCTGTACTGTCTTTGTTCTCTTTTCTGTCCTTTCAATGTTTACTTCTGATCTCTTCACTGCTTTGACTTATTTTTCTTTTGAGGGATTTATCATCATTTCATACTTTTTATTTTGCTTAGCTCAAAGACGTAAAATTAAAATTAAATTTCTATTGAATCTGTCTCTGCTTTTTTCCTTTGACCTAATATTATAATCACGTGTTTTTTACACTTTGGTATTTTTCATGTTATTCATAAATATATGTACGTATGCATCACTATTGGAATAGCTTGATGATTATTATACACCAAGCTTCTTCTCTTTGCAAATGGATTTAGGTTTACAGATTGTTTATTTAAGAATTCCCATATATCTATCTTTCTATTCACTTTAAGGTTACAATATACGTTCTCAGGTACTCAAATGTAATAGCACCTCCTACGTTTTGTGCTAAGAGCATGTAATCCATGGGTAATCAATTCAGGCATGGTTGCCTTTATTATGGGACTTAGCATCAGACAATTGGACTCATGTATGATTGAAAATGTAGATAGATAGGATGGGGGAAGGTGGAGAGAATTCAGGCTTCCCTGAGATGTGACATTTAAGACTTGAAGGGTGAGTAGAAAGGAGTTAACTCAGTTTCAAGGCAGAAGGGACAGTATGCAGTAACGCTCTGAGATAGGAAGGAAAAAGACTATGCTAGAATGTGGAGAGTTAGGGAAGAAGGGCTTTGCCACAGGTGAGGAAGGAGGCAGGGACTAGATAATGTGGAGCTTTATAGGCCATGTTAAAGGAGTCTGGTGGTTTTAGGAGGAATGGGAAGTTACGTATCTTCTTATGCTTAAAAAAATTCTTTATTTTAAAGCACTTTTACTGTTTTCTTCCACTTGAATCTAATCTTTTGATGGCAGAGACATTCTTTGCCTTATATGCCAGTGTAGTCCCCTAACTCAGAATAGTACCTGATGTACAGGAAGAATTTGGTAAATATTTGCTGAATTATTAAAAGACAAATAGGCAGAAGGATAATGATGGAAGGAAGGATGGACAAACAGAAGGATAAATGAAAGGATGGAGAGAAAGAGGGATAGTTGGAGGGAAAGGTGGAGGAAAGGTTAGATGGAAAAGAGGAAAGACTGAAGGATGTTCAGACAAGTGAAAAAAGGGAGAGAGTGGAAAGAAGGAAGAGGGGCAGGAAGGTATCGAACAAAGGAGCGAATGAATATTAAGTAGAAAACCAGATTTTGGTTCACAGGTTCTCTGGCTATGAGGGGACTAAACTGAATTGTAGGAGCTAACTGATGGACACGTTTTAGTAGTGCATTTAAGAGGTGGTGAAAGCATGGACTGGGAAGATAAAGAAAGTGGAGGAATCATTTAGGAAGCAAAATTGACATGGCTTAATTAGGGATTAGGTGTGAGTGATGAGGATTAGATAGAGGAAGCCTAGGTTTCTGTGAGTTCAAACAAACAAACAAACAAACAAAAAAAACAACAAAAAACCCTGCAGTCGGCCTGTAGTTTTCAGAGAATTTCAGTACATTCTCTTTCTCTTGCTCTCCTCCTTCCCTTCCCTTTCCCTATTTTTCTCTTTCTCAAATTTTCTGCTTGTCTTTTTTCTTTTTTTTGACTCTGTCTCTGCATATTCACTCTTTAGGGCCTTTCAAATCTTCCTTCCCTTCTACAGAAGAGATATTCAGAAATTTTGAATCAATCTTGAGCAGAGTTGCTCAGGGAGACTTCTGATGGCGATAGAACATTCGTGTGTTATTTTTTCATCTTCGCCAGTAAGTGGCTTTAGGATTTAGGGAAAATCTTTTAACTTCTCTGTGTATTAATTTCATTATTCATTAAAGAAGGAGGATTTCTGTCCTATTGACCTGAAGGTTTTTCTAGGGTATAAAATAAATTACATTTTCCCTCTCTTGGTGTGAACTGACTGCCTTTATGTTAGCAATAAATTCAGTTTTATATTAAAACAAATTATAGCTTATGTTTTAGGTATTCCATTGTCATTTTGCAAATAAATAAATAATTTTCTGGACACTTAACATTTTAAGAAGCTCGCATTCTTTCCAGTCTGAAAGGTACAGTGAGTTGTCTGTTACTTGATAGGGTATTTCTTGAATATGTGAATACCTCCAGGAAAGTTTCTTTTGAATGACCTTCGATAGATTTCATTTCTTTATTTACAAAAACGAGGAGTTGAACTAAATTTCTCTAAGGCCCTTTTTATATAAATATTCTAACTTTTGAGAATGCAAAAGAAGTATTCAAGTTGCCTCAAATATTCTTTTATAATGAGACAAGGTAAAAATAAAATATTAAAAAAATATTTAAAAATATTAAAAAATATTTTAAAAATATACACATATTATGTTCTGTATGTCAAGTGAATATAATTGAATTCTATTTTATCCACAGAGTCTCTCTTCCAGCTGCTTTTGGAAATCACTGTTCGAAGTACTGGAATGAATGACAGCACGGGACAGTCTCTGACAGCACTTTCCTGTGCTTGCCTCTTTAGTCTGGTGGCTTCCTGGGGAGAAACAGGAAGGACACTTCAGGCCATCTCTGCTATCCTCACCAACAATGGCAGCCATGCTTGCCAAACTATTCAGGTATTTCATTTTTTTTCAAGTATTTTACATTTATAGCTTCTTAGAAAGTTATAAGATACCAAATTACAGTTTCATCTTAATTTCTGTCACTAGGAATTCCCTGCCTTGTCTTGCTCAGTACTGTATTTGATCTGTCCAATGTTGATATAAAAATCCATAGCATTTGAGCTAAGCTACATGTGTGTTTAACTCTATAGCACATTAAAAGTAATAAAATGAAATTGGGTAAAAACTCAGATCATTAGCTTAGTCTTGTGTCAGCACCATAACCTCATCTTTCTCTGCATTGTCTTGTTCTCTGCCCTCCCCAACTTCCCATCTTGCCCTGAATTTTCAAGTATGGAATTCCTTCATAGTTTCTAAACATCTCTTCTGTGTTGGAAGAAAAGGATGTGTGTGATATCATTCTACTATATTTTTGATTGGTTGATTATAGTTTTTCATGAAGTGATTTGTTTCTGAGCGACCTCAGCTTCATATATAACATTTTAAGTTTTTACTGTTTGGGGAATAAACTCTTCATTGTTGTTAGTGGTGGGAAATATCCTACTTATAGGCAAACTTGATTTAATTCTTTTGGACTGTTCTGTAAATTGAGTAAGAAGTTATAGTTTTAAGTCTTTGGTATGTGCTCTTCTCTGACCCCTTGGACAGTCTCTAGAATCATAGAAGGGCTGCTTCAATCCTGCTCTTAGGCCAAAGATGACAAAATGAGTGGATGGGTCACTGTCTGTGACTTGCTCAGCGATATTGAACTCTCCTTGTAAAATGTGAGCAATCCCCTCACCCTAGTTTTCTGTTCTTATTTTTTTCCCCTCTTTCTGCCCTGCCCGAAATCTTCTTTACCCTTTTTATGATCCTTAATTATTTTGAAGTTCCTCCCTGCAGTGGATCTCAAACTGTGTTCTGCAGCTGTGCTTTGAGGGTTTAGCAAAATTTTTATTTAAACATATGCTTAAAATATACTCATATTTCTTAAATTTTAGTAAAACAACAAACATTCAGATCCAGTAAACCAAATTTCAGAAATACAGTGACCATAAACATATGAGCTTATTAGACATCCATAGTGATTTATTTTTGTGTAGATTAACCTAAAGGATATGAGGTGAGATCTAAACAAGTGGTTAGAATGAGCCAGCCCTTAGGGAGGAGGTGCTGGTGTTGGGATGTGGACAGAGAATGTTCTTGGTGTCCGTGTGCTAAGGCATGGAGGTAAGAGTAAGAAAGGAATTTTGAAGGTTGAAAGAAATTAATGTAGTTATAGTATAGACGGCTGTCAAGTAGCAGAGACAGGGCTTGAATGTATATCTGTCTGACTACAATAAATATTATGTTCAAATACTAGGGTGCACAAAACTACTAGTTCTCTTAAATCAATAACTGAGGTTCTCTTTCGACCTACCTCATTACTGCCTCCCCAACTCCAGCCCAGATACCACATTAAAACCCATTATTTTAACTCGCCTTATGGTGTTCGCGATTTGGCCCAGTTCCATCTGCCAACTTCATAAAACTCTCTTGACCAGGCTGTGGTGGAGGGAGAATCATCTTCCCTCAGAATGTGTAACTCTAACATCTCAACTTGTTTGGGATCCAAATGCGTATTACCGGTCTTGTTCTAAAATGCTTAAGCTGAGAGTTTAAAGTAGGGTAGGGATGGTAGTACCGGGAGGGGTTTTATTGAAGGACATTGAAATCTCTCTGGAGGCATGAACTCCAGAATTCAAAAGCTTTTTGTAAACAAAATTCTAGTGCATCTTAAGCTCACAAACAAACAAAAAGCACATTGAAAAGCACCAACACTGAGAGCTTGTATAAATAATCCTGCCGAGTCTTTGTATATTGAAATTATTTGGCATAGGATATAAAATACACATGTAGGTATATATATTTAATATAGTTAAAGTAGTAAAAATATCAAAAGTATTAAGGAATAAGAATATAAAAAGTAATCAGACACATCAGAAAACAAACTAAATTGAACTGGAAATGAAAAACCAAATAATTACAATTAGAAACTTACAGGCTGAGTTAACCAGTGGATAATATAGTTGAAGATAGAAAAAGTTAACTGAGATATAGAGAGGAAGAAATTCTTCAGAATGCAGCATAGCGAGACAAGGAGAAAAAGTACAAAAGATAAAATAAGAAACATCGATGGGAATGGAAAGTCCAGCATCAGTACAGCGAGTCCCATAAGGCAAGGGACAGATTTGTGGAAAGGCAGCACTTGAAGTAAAGGCTGGTTTTCCAGAATTGGTAAATGACATAGAACCCTCAGATTAGGGAGTACAGTTTATCAGAATAAATTCCTTAGGCCCTGCCCTTGTGTTGAGGAGAGAGAATCAATTGGAAAGAACAAGTCGTATATCTGAGACTTCTTGTTGTAGTACTGGGTATTCTTAAAGAAAGAAACAGCCGTGTTGAAGATGCATGCTAATTTCTGCTCCCTCTACAGTCTCCGCTAAGGTTATAATTAAGGAAGTTTTTAAAGCATAAACTTTTAAGAATGTGACACATTTTTGGAAGGTCAAAATTGGGGAAAGCTTAGACTTAAGTTCCTCATGAGGCTAATGCCCATACCTAGTAAGTTGATTTTCACTTAAAACTTCAGATAGGGTTCAGAATTGGAAATAACAGGCACCTAGAAAATGGTGGTGAGGGAAAAAACTACAATTTGATTGGAAATCTGTATAATGAAAGGTAGAGGAACCCAGAGCGCTTTCTTTATGTTTCCCAAACGTAACCAGCTGTCCTTCTCTCATACCCCTAAGAGACAGGTTTGCTCTCTAAAGGAATTGAGCCAGAGAGGCAAGGGGAAATCAAGCACATTTAAGAGTGGAATTGAGGAGGAAGGCTGAAAATAGAAATTAATCAAAAATCTTAATATTGATGATGAAATTTCTTAATATTCACTAAATGAGGCTTGCTATAGCTTCTAGGAAAAAGACTAACAGATTCTACTTTGGAGAAAGAGTGAAAAAAGGCCCACAGATGCAGACATTTGCTGGGGGGTGGGGTCCTCCACTGAAACTGCTAAATTTAGTGTGGGTCAGTTATCACTTTGAAAACTCTACCCTCTAGAACAGTGCTGTCTTATAGAAATATAATGTAATCCATATATGCAATTAAAATCTTTTTATTAGTCACATTAAAAAAGTAAAAGAAACAGGTGAAGTTAATTTTAATAATGTATTTTACCCAATATATCAAAAATAAATTTTCAACATGTAAACAATATAAAATTGTTAATAAGATTCTATATGCTTGTGTTTATACAGAGTCTGAAAATCCAGTGTGCGTTTTAATTTAAAGCAGATCTCAGGTCACCCTAACTGCATTTCAGGATTTTAGTAGTCACATGTGGCTAACGGCTACCATAGTGGACAGTGCCGAGCAGAACTGTGACTAAGCACAGTGCTCTGGGGTCTGGCTCTGCAGTCATATGTGTGGCACTCTTCCTTGGGTGGTGAAAGAGAGGCAAAAGATGAGGAACAGTTTCCTCCGGTATCATTGTGTTGGTCCCATGCTGGTGACTGTTGAGGACTCGTTTATAATTCCAGGTACTTAGCAAGTCTGATATTGGTTAAGTGAATGCTGAATGAATACATACTTAACATAATTAAGTTTTCACATCATGGAAAATTGTTGATGTTAGTGGATATTAGGCATAATGGAGAAGCAAAATTGAAGAAAAATACTGGAAATTTTAGGACTGTTGGTTCTAGTTCTGTTACAAATGCCATTGATATTTTGTTAGGGATTGCGCTGAATCTGTAGATTGCTTTGGGTAATATGGACATTTTAACAATATTAATTCTTCCAATCCATGAGCATAATATATCTTTCCATTTGTTGTATTGTATTCAATTTCTTTCATCAATGTCTTAATAGTTTCAGATTACAGGTCTTTCTGCTCCTTGGTTAAATTTATTCCTAGGTATTTTATTCCATTTGATGCAATTATAATAATTTATTTTCTTATAAATGATGATATATGACTAAAGTATTTATATTTTGTCTGTTTTGTTTTGGGAACATTTAACCATGTCTTTTTGTTTTTTTCTTCCCTTTTGAATAGGTGCCAACGATTCTAAATTCACTACAGAGAAGTGTACAGGCCGTGTTGGTGGGAAAAATTCAAATTCAGGACTGGTTTAGCAATGGCATTAAGAAAGCAGCTTTAATGCACAAGTGGCCATTAAAAGAAATATCTGTTGATGAAGATGATCAGTGTCTACTTCAGAATGATGGATTTTTTCTTTACCTGTTATGCAAAGATGGATTATATAAAATAGGCTCTGGATACAGTGGAACAGTTAGGGTAATATGATTTCTTACAGTTCTTAATCATAAAGGAAGTTACATCTGCACTGAATTTGTTCTGTTTCTAGCTTCATTTTTAGAGTACCATTTAATTTTGATATAACAGTATTTCTTTGAAAATAATAATGAAAATATACATTAAATGCCATTCATCCATTTGTGTTATTTTTCATTGGTTATTAATTATGAAACTGTTGATAGACTAACTTTTGTTATTTTGCAGGGCCATATATATAATTCTACATCTCGCATCAGAAACAGAAAAGAAAAAAAGTCTTGGTTAGGGTATGCTCAGGTAGGAGAATATCTATGAGAAACCATACTTTTCTTTTTCACCTTTTAAAACATGTGGTTCATTTTTGTTTAATCAGTAAATAATATCACTCTATTGAAACAGATATGGTATATTTTTAATAATATGGTTATAGCAGTGGTATACTGTAGTGTAAAGAACATTGGCTTAGAATTCCTAAGAAGTTTACTTTTAGTTCTGGCCCTGCTTTTTTCTAGCTGTGTGACTTTGAACAACTCAATTGATTTGATCCTCTGTGATTTAGCTGTAAAATGGGAATAAAAATGTCATCCATTGGACTTCTTGTTTACGTGAGCCTCTAGATGAGAATCGAAGACCACCTTTATCGTTAGCAAACCTGAATTGGGACTTTAGCTGTGATGATGCCAAATTAGAGCTTCTTGCCATATACTTCATTATTCTACATCTAGATCAGTACTTTCTGGGAATAGTGTGTGTGTGTGTGGCCTTTCCAGTCGCTATCTGCGTGGAAGATCATGCAGACTATCACCAAAGAGAACAGAGCTAGGCCTATGTTGCTTTCTTAATGTTGTGATCTCATCACCTGACTAATGTTTCCAAATGGATGTCAGCCATCAGATACCTCACTCCTCTTCCTATGGAGATCAGCAAATGAACAAAAGAGCCAGTGTTTATTTCTATACTGTCCCTTCCTGAGAAGTGAAGACAAATTTCCTTGTGGCAGGACGTAGAATAAAGATGTCCTTTGCCTAGCTCACAGTTTGTTGTCAGCATCAAATAGTAAAAGATTCTTAAAAGCATTTTGAAAATTAAGTAAATTATTGTTGTTATATGAAAAATAAGCCTGCTATATCAACTATTGGGGAGATTTTGAAATTAAAATTATAAATATCAGTTTCTCAGTAATTGTCTCTCAAAACTTAATGTGGTTTAAAATGTTTCATTGAATTTTTATTTGCCACTGCTGTATTTTATCTAAGAAATAATGCGATAGAAAATACATTATTACTGAAATATGTTCAGTGGTCTATTATTCCATCTAAACCACTACTCTGTTTATTTAAAAATATTAACCTAAATATTTCAGTTATTTTTTTCTTAAAATATTTGTTAAAGTAACAGTGGTCATTTCTGTTATTTACTTAGCAAGTGACATCATAATTTAGAACCAAATGTTTGTACTGTCCTGTGTGTTGTGTCATATATATATCTGAGAATATAATAGGTTGATTGATGTCCAGTGGCATATAATTTCTTCCTCTTGTTAAAGTTTACCTATATTCTTATATTTTTAATCTTTATTTTAGACCTCAATATTGATGTATTATTGTACCTCAAAAAACTGTAATATAGACTTGAATGGCTACATTTTTTGCTGAGTTGGTAATGAAAAATATTTTAATACATAACAGCAAAATTTTTTGTTGTTATCAGGGTTACTTATTGTATAGAGATGTGAATAACCACAGCATGACAGCCATAAGAATAAGCCCTGAAACACTGGAACAAGATGGTACTGTAATGTTACCAGGTATGTTACTCACCTTGTCTTTTGTTTTCTTTACAGTCAGTTTAAGAGATGTGCATGTTAGGCCATTTAGACATGTACAGAATGATTAGCAAGGAATAGTGCTTGCTTACAAATAAGTTAAAATCTTGACATGCAAATCATTTTATAATCTATATAAAGTTAATGCATGTGAGGAAAACAGATATCAGAAATACGGTATAAAGTATTTTAATATGTGATTTAAAACTTTTGCCCACCTGCAGCCTAATCCCCCACCTTCACCCCACCGAGACTGTTTGAGGTGCTGAATTTAGTGGGGTGATGTTATTTTGTTGCTCTTAATAAAACTTGGACTCTGGCTGTCATATAACCTGGTATAAAGAACCTTCTGTTTATTTTTATTTTAACAACAATGCACTTTGGATTTTCTTCTTTATGTTAAAAGGTTTTCAGAGGCAAAAATTTCAGGGTGGATCAGGAATTTTTAAAGATTCCATCATTTATACTTTTTAATAGTACTCTCTAATAAGGCACTTTGGGCACAGGTCACTGTGCTTTAATTTTGTACCTGATAATCACTCAAAACACATGATGTCTAAATTCTGAGGCAGTGGATCTTTAATTCTGTGGAACACTGGGCAAGTGCATAATCTCTATTGTAAGGTCTTTGGATTTTCTTATATCTTTAATATATTCTAAAGGACTTTATTTTTATTAAAATCTTGAATGCTTAATGTGCCTATCAATAATTTTATGGTAAGCAGCAATATTCTATGCACTTGACCATCTTAAAATGAGAGAGAACTACTTCTGAAGATCACATTGAGAAGAATAATTGTTCCGAGGCTGCTCGTTAATTTTTAAAAATTTTTATGACTTCATCAAACATTTATTTGTACATTGATATATCCAAGTTAGTGTAAATGACACTATATTAAGGTTAATGCCACATTTTATGTGTAAAGCTACTTTGGAAAACATAACTGAAAGCAATTTTGTAAGTAACTATCTGTTTTCAGATATGTCTACAGAAGTTTTTTGTTTGTTTGTTTTAATCATCATAAGTCCTGGGCCATATCTCTGGTCCTAATAATAATAATATAATAATAATAATAATGTAAATTTTAAATAATATGTAACTCCATATACATACACATTAAAAGTAATCATATTTATTCTGTAAGTATTATATAAATAAAAAAAACAAAATTAATTATAATCCTAGTTCCTCATATATAAACACTACAACGAATTGGTGAATATCCTTACTTTTTCCTATGTGTATGTGTTCGTACAAGGAAAAGTGATCGTATGCTACATATTGCTTTATAACCTATCCTTTTCATTCATTATTCTGAATATATTTCCAGGCCATTAATCTTCCACAATATAATTTTAATGTTATAAAATATATTTTAATTGATTTCTATATTGGAATGGAAGTTTCTTCCAATTTTTTGACATATGTATTATATTGTAATGAGCATCCTATGGCTCTTTGTGCAAGTCATTTTACGATAATACCTTGGAAGAAAATCCTTAACCCAGCCCCAGAGCAGATAGATACTAATATAAAGGATTTACTTCTGAGAAACCCTCATCATTTAATAGAGATTGTGACTGAGAAGACCATTTTCAAATGGTCTACTTATATCTGTTGTATTTATTCCACCATGATAAAAAATGAGTTGTTAATGTCCTTATTCAGTTTAAATCCCTCTACATCATTTAACATGTGAAATATGACTTTTAACAGTCCCAAGTGTGGCTTTCTGTGTTTTATAAATATGTACCATATTTATGGTGAAGAATGTACCAAAGTTTGGGAGGATAGTCCTATGTTGGATGTCTTTTGAACTGGAAGATGTTGCTCGATATTTTCCTGAAGATGCTGTCTTATAACACTACATGATGGATAAAGAAAAGATAAAGAGAAAATCTTTCTGAAATCACGCAGCAGGAAGACTTACCCTCAAGCCCGAAGAAGCCTGTTATCATTTTTCTGTTTCTTTGACATGGACTGCAATTTCTTCAGTATTACCTTTTTTTCCTCCTAATGAGGGGCAGCTCTGCCCTGCAGTTTTCCCATCAAGAAGGAGCAGAAATGAGTTGTCAGGTTTATAGATGGTAGTGATTGCCATGTTTAAACTTGACATAAATCTGGTGATTCCTTGAGCTTCATGTTCCAACTTGTCTTACAGTGTAGTTTATAAATAAGTTGTTTTCAACCGATAATTGATGAACTTAAAACATGCTTTTTCCCCTATTATTTGTCATTTTAGCCTTTATATGTTGGCACACTTTTTATATTGTATCTTTATGTCATTCACTCTCCCATGTCTGGTGACAGGTTGCCTCAGATCATGAGGGTTTTTGCTACTCTTCTTGCGCCTCTTCACTCCTCACACCTGCATTTATCTGAAATTATAATGAGTTTTTCTTCTTTGCTTTTTAGTTTAAAATCTTACTGCTTAGAGCTTGAGAAGCATCTTTCTTGCGCCTCTTTGTATTCTGTACAGTGGACTAGGAACTCTTTCTTTCGATTTCTCCTCTCTTTGATTACCAAGTCTCTTGGGCTACCAGTGGGCCTTGTCTCCCAGTTTCTATTTCCAGTTTGTGATCACTGAATTCTCTATTTGGTAAGGGTCTGCCTGTGTTTTGCATATTTATCATAAGGAAGTATGCTAGTATGAAGCTCCTGGGCAAAGATATAGAGTAATCCAGCTTATTTGGGTGGGTTCCGTTACTGCATTCCAAAAACAGAATTTTATGTTTTGTTGATTCAGGTGCAAATAGAAATGAAATATTTTTTTGGTATTGTAATTAATGGAGAGATTCATCCTAGTTCTCTGCAGTTATTTTGGAAAGTGTGTGCTTTTTACTTGCTTGCTGAGCATATGTTTTCCCAAAAGGATACAGTTTATACTTAGATGTTGATTTTGCTTGTAGTTTCATGTTGTTTAGTAGCAATCACTAACATACGTTCCAGTGGTCCTTCTGTAATACTGGTATCCCTTGTTACAGTTGTACTTGCTGTCGATCATTGTATATAGTGCACTGTTCCACAGATATATACAATATTGATAAAATGGGGCATTCCAGCCAAAATATATGAGTACTTTCAGACAAAAATAACTACGTAAGCATAGATTTGTCTGTTCTATGAAGGATGAATATTTAAAGACTGTGTAGCATTCTAAATGCTAAAAATTCTGGGAATAAGCGTTAAACTTCTAAATGGAAACTGTACAACCAGTTATATTTTATAAAGCAAGGGATATCTGTAGTTGGACACCATAGACTCAAATACAGAAGCTTTAGGTCTATCTGTATTTTTCTGTGACACTAATGACTGTGATGTATGTCTGAGGTAGAGTGTTGCCTACATCGCATGTGATTGTATTGAAATGATTATAACCAACACAGTTTGTTCATTGTGATGCATGTTTATTATCAGACTTTATTTAGTACTAATTTTTTTGAAATTAGGTGGGCTCTGAGTTCCTTGATTATGGAAGATTTATAAATGTAAGCATTAAATGTAATAAGTATTAGTTGAATTATTTAGTTTCTGTTAATATGTAATTCTTTATTAAAAAGCACAGTCTCCCTTTGAGTTTAAGTTTATCCTTATTGCTTGGAGAACTCTCATTCTGACTTCAGAGGAGTAAAGTCATTTTAATGATGTACTTATGTATATTATAATATAATTACTTTTTTTCTTATTGCACAGATTGCCACAGTGAAGGTCAAAATATTTTATTCACTGATGGAGAATATATTAATCAGATAGCTGCTTCGAGAGATGTAAGTACTCTGAATTATGAGGAGCTGGTATAAATGAAATCTCTTTCTCATGAATTGATTTTATTAGATGGATATAGAGTCTTAAAAGACCAATTCACACAACATAATACTGTGGATGTTTTGTTTCAGGATGGCTTTGTTGTCAGAATATTTGCCACAAGCACTGAACCTGTGCTACAACAAGAATTACAACTTAAACTGGCCAGAAAATGCTTACATGCCTGTGGCATCTCACTATTTGATTTGGAAAAGGACTTGCATATTATAAGTAAGATTGCCAAATAAATCTCTCTCCTGGATTTTAATTTTTAGATTCTTTAGTCTTTTGAAAACTAGCATTGCGTTTTCTGCAATATAGTTTATATTTTATCAGCTATTTTGCTGTCTGTTACTATAAGCACATTTATGAATTAATATCTATAAATAACTAGGAAATGGCCTTTAAACAGAATATGCTATACGAGCACCATTTTAAGGAAAGGACTAATAATTTTGCATTTTCATTTTGAGTAGAGCAAAAGAAAATAAGCTTATATTTGATGAGAATTATAGATAACACTTGTGGACAACGTTAGTTTATATACTCCATCTTTGTCAATTATTTAAAATGTTGAAAACTTCTATCGTAAAGGTTACTACAATCATATACATAGTTCTCTCACTGACGCCTTTAATTTTGATTTGAGCAGATTTTCAGGATAGCCATAGAATAATCTCATAGATTGTGAAGATGGTAATTGGCCTAACAAACTGATTAATATTCTTCCATTTGGATACAGAAATACAGACAACCAGAATAGTTCTCAGACTTTATGGATTTACTCTTGCAGTATCATAGTAGTAATTAAGATCACTAGTTTCCACGAGGGTCTAAATTTTGGTTTGCCATGCTACTGCAGGTTTAACGGTGCCATTTTTTAACTTATGGGATTCTTTGCGAGACCTACCTTTTTTGACTATCTCATTACATTTAATAAACTTGACATTAGTGATTTACTTTGCATATTTTAATTATTTTTGTGATTCTCTCATAGAAAAATATAATTGAAATTATAGTTTTTAAATTTAAAAAGCCCATAAACTAATTAGTAATTTGCATAATTGGACAAAATGTGCCATATATAATTATTTACTATATTTTTACAATTTCAAAATATTCATAAGGGTCTGTGTGTGTATATGCACACATATATATTCAGAATTATGAAATAGCGACATGAAATGTTATATAGTAGAAAGCATGGAATGGAGAATCTGAAGTACCTTAATTCAAATATTTGCATGGCATTATTCAAGCCCAAATGACTCAGGGTCTGGATCAACCTCATCAAGCTTTACATTTGTTCACTTGTATACCAGGCAATATAGTGTGAGGATCAAATAGGATAAAGTTCATGCATTCTATAATGCCTGATACCTAATAAATGCCCAATAAAAATTTGTCATTATTTATTCAAGGGATATTGTTGACATTGCTTTAAAAATTTTTTTGTATTAAATTAATCTGACACTAATTTGGAACAAATTAAGAAGCTTATGGTAATCTTATCTTTCCTTGGCATCGTATACCTATTGTTTATATATTTTTTAACTCAGGCGTGTGACATTTTGTCATCCTTGTTTTTAAGTGATATTAATTGAATTGACTTTAATCACTCAAAATGTTAGAAGTCGTGCTTGAAATTATTCATATTAAAAAATAATAGAATTTATCAGTCTTGTTGTATTATCAGGTACAGGATTTGATGAGGAGTCAGCAATTCTTGGTGCAGGACGAGAGTTTGCACTAATGAAAACTGCAAATGGAAAGGTAAATTAAATTACTCTTTTAGGATTAAAAATTAACATTATCTGCTTTAAGAGATAGTTGGTACAATCATTTTTTGAGTTTACACAATTCTTATATTTAAACAAAATCATTTTAAATTTTGATTTAAATTGTGTCTACATGGTAAAATTTTATTCACGTTGAAATATGTCGGAAAATTGACCTGTAAGAGTAAAACTTTATAAACTTTATAAAATATTATATTTTTTACAAATATTTGCTTTGACTTGTATAATTTTTTGAGTTGGGGTAAATTTATATTTTGTGTTTATTTTGATGAATAGGGCATCCACTGAAAATTTCTGTAAATGAGCAGAAATATACAGACTGTAAGTTGGGGGAAATAGGACCATGTGTAAATAGGTTATTGATTGTAGAGATAAATCTATAGAAATGGAAGCTTATTTCTTATCTAGTGGGTATGGGGATAAAGTGAGGTAATTAAAAGAATTCTGAAAATTAAAATTATTAGGCAAATACAGTATATTTGTAGAGTTTTTCGCATTGGGGAAAATGAATTGAGAATTTTATGAATTTCCTACTATTGTGAGTTTTGACTATATTTATGAAGTATGTTTTTTCATACCTATTCAGGATGCTTATAAAATATTTAATAAGATCGAAAGATGAAAGATTATATGTGTACTGAATAGATATGAAAAAAAACTATTATGAAATCTTTTAGGAAAATATGTCTATTATTCTCCTCAGCTCACAAAAATCAAATAGTATTGAAAAAGAGTTGAATTCTCGTTATTTTTGTTTTTCACTAAAATATGAAAGTTGTTTTGTTTTTCTCTCATTTGAAATCTGGTGTTCTTCTCCAAAAGGCACATAATTCTTTTTTTCCTTTTCTTTTTTTTCTTTTTCTTTTCTTTTCTTCTTCTTTTTTTTAAATCTATAAGATATATTATACTGGCAAATATCAGAGTCTTGGAATCAAACAGGGTG